AAGACTTTAATAACAGAAGCTTTCACTGCAATATCTTCACCATTTGGTGGAACAGAGAAAACAGATTTGATTTCAGCTTCTGCTAGTGTTGCTTCATCATTCTACAGCACTGAGAAACCAACATCTGTGTCAACTCTGACCCAACAAATGGTAACAGGTCAGACTGGGAAAGGTTCAGTAACACCAGAGAGTACAGACATAACATCAGCTAATAGTTCTACACAACAGTCAATTTATTGGATCAACCACAGACACTGCAGCTCCTACTGCTTCATCTGTTGTTTTCAGACCATTTAATGTCAGATTTTTCGGGGTAGAAATGTTTGATAGATGCTTCATTCAGGATACCAGTATTTTAAAGGAAATAAGGGATTGTTTTAGCAAAATTTAATTTTTTAAGTCAGGTGCATCATGTTAAAGTAAGGCAGACATTCGTGAACATGGGCTGTTGAACAGCTCAAATCATGTTATATATATGAATTTGCAATATAAAAATTATAATTTTAATTGCAATTTATATAGACAATATATATGTATATATTTCTGTCTTAAACTGTTAGAACCTTAATATATTTTCATGTTGTGATTACGTGTTATATTTTAGAAGACTTTGTATTTGTTTTACACATACAACAATATGCACATGCACTGTGGTTAGTTTAGCTGCCAAAAGGGTTAAATAGAAATATTTTTTTTTTCAAATTAGTGCATGGATATTTTGTCTGTATGCTGCAATTGGCTGCATTGGCAGTGTTTCTTCCCTCATATGTGCATGTACCTGCCTGCTGACCGCCAGCCTGGCAGCAAACAGAGGTGAGTTGGCAGTCTATCAAAGTAAGCACAGATGCCTGTCCTCGGTTAGGACTGGACACCACCACACCAGGTGATGTCATCGCTAGAGCAAAGTCTCTCCTCTATGTAAGAACAGCTAGAAGCTGCATGTAGCGGGTGATTATTGCTTCTTTTACTGCTGCATCTTGTGATGTGGCTCAGCTGAGCCACTTGACGTCTCTCTCTCTACCCTCCAAATTTGTGTGGGAAACATTTGTGGAAAATATTGTGGCAGTGGCTGACTACATGGTAACATAGTACACAAAAATATCAGAATATGCCTGAAATCTTTTGCTGTTATGCTCAGTAAATAGTTCTCATGTGTTTTTGGTTACTTTAAAGCAATTACATTTATGCTCTACCAAATATTATATTATGGCTTGTTGAAATATTGACACTCTGAGGGTTGTTAACCTCAAATGTTACCATGCAGTGCACAGAACCATTACCACTGTTGCATATTAGTCCAATTAAAACATGTTTCAAAAGTTTGCTAATGGCTGCTCTTCTCATTTTTTATGTTGAGGTGGCTGTGGGTTAGCAGGAATTAAATGTTTTTAACTGGAAGACTCTTACCTTCATTCCTACCTTGTTGATCTAATGCCAATGGGTATAGAAGATTTGAAATACCAGTTTTTTTCATTTGAATCATCATCAAGTCCTGAGGTGAGCTGACTATTTTAATTAAAAAACCAGTAAGGTTTAACATGCTGCCAAACTATGGTTCAAATACACAGAGACGTGTCCTGCATGTGTTCCAGTCATAATCTATGCTGTGTTTGCAAACCCCTACAGTGATATTTTAGCCTGTTTGGTCTTCACCTGATATGTTTGACATAGTGCTAGCTTAGAGAGATGCTTTCCTCTCTCATAACAGCAGTGCAGACTGTAGATGTAATAAAGATGTGAATGTTGTGGATCTTTTGAGAATGATGACACTTAGCTGGAATTGCAATAACATAGTAGATAACATAAAAAGGGGTCTTTTAGGTGAGTGTGTTAAATTAATTCCTAGGCTTTCTGAACAGGTGTTTCTGTCCAGAGTAATGGTGCTACACAGGTCTTTTTGCTAGCAACCAGTAATTAGTTTGAAGGGAAATGGTGAAATACTGAGGGAGGAAAAAAAAGTTTACAACCTTTTTTCTTAACAGTTGTTCTTCTATGGAGTCTTAAGGCTTTTAATAGATATTGCAGCAGGCGACCATTATGGTTTTGTTTTTACAGATGCCATTTATGCTTTGTGTTGCTTGGCAGATATTAAAGTGCCTGCCTGTTTTCTCTATCTTACAGAGGGACAAGTTCTACTTTTGCAAGATACTCTATCTACTGCCACTACAATTGTGTCTGACAAACACATTCCCTCTGTAACTAATGGCGAGCCCTTCATGCAGATTGGACACACAGGTGATTTTACTAGAGCTGCTGTGACAGTCACTCCAGATGTTGGTTTACTGCTTACTAGTCAAGGAACCACTCAAGGACCAAAAGAAAAGGAGAAAAATGACTCCCAGGTTTTGACAAATGTGACACCACTAGAAGCAAGTGAGGAAATAACCACTGTGTTTGATTACAATTGGACTAATCTCCCTATAGATAGCTCCAATAAGCCCATTGAGGTAACAAATAATGGACTGATAACTACTGGGATCCCAGATGTTGATGAAATTGACCCTGATATAATCTCAGTAGTTAAATCAACACCACCTCTTCTATCATCTCAGATGGATAAAATTATGACTAAAAGGCCAACAACTGGTCCAACTCATGCCTTAGGGGTAAGTGGTAACACAGATATCTCTGCTGATGCTGTTGTTACAACTTCAAGTCAAACACAAGTCATCAAATCAACCACCTCTTCTGTTCAAGATGAAGGAGATGAATTGTGGGGGACTCCCACTCCTGTCAAAAGTGAATCATTAGTGGCTCAGGCAGAAACAGTTGAAGAGCTTGTTACTTTTTCAACAGAACCTCACTCAGCCAGTTATAAAGCTGAAGTCACAGAGGACACAAAGAGTTCATCTGCCACCCCAGCTGCCGAAGACAGCACAGAGAATATAGAGCAAACTGTTTCCCCTTCGTCATCAGATGATGCGACTGGGAAAACAGTACCAACTACTGATCTAGAGAGTTTGACTGAAGGGGAGAAAGAGACCCTCGCCACAAAAGAATTTGGCATAAGTTTAACTTCAAAATCTACCTCAACTCCTGAACAAACAGCCAAAACTGTGATAACAGGAGCTGCAATTGGAGCCAACACAGAATCAACACGTCCAAATAAACCTACCCAGGGTGACATATCAAAAGAAATAGCTACAAGTCATTTATCAAGTACAGTCAGTTCACAAATCCAAACAGAAAATGTATATACATCCAGTCCTCCATTACATATGTCACCAGTAAGCTCTGTAATTACAACAAAATATAGTGAAATAACATTACAAACTGTAGATGAACAAAAAACATCAGTAGCTGCTACTCAAGAACCAGATTCACCTTCCTCCATAAGACAGCAAGAAACTTCTTCTTTCCCTTCTGAATCTGATCTGACCCCTGCCTCCAGATTGCACAGTGTTATTGAAATGGTTAGAGCAACTGTGTCGTCCTTCAATGGAATTTTTAGTCAACACACAACACAAAGTTCAACTGAAACCAATGGCACAGGGACAGAGGCTACAGAGACCACACAAACTCATGAAACTAAAACTAAGACTTTAATAACAGTAGCTTTCACTGCAATATCTTCACCATTTGGTGGGACAGAGAAAACAGATTTGATTTCAGCTTCTGCTAGTGTTGCTTCATCACTCTACAACACTGAGAAACCAACATCTTTGTCACCTCAGACCCAGCAAACTGTAACAAGTCAGACTGGGGAAGGTTCAGTAACACCAGAGAGTACAGACGTAACATCAGCTGATACAGACAGTTCTACGCGACAGTCAACTGATGGATCAACCGCAGACACTGCAGCTCCTACTGCTTCATCACTTTTCAGTACTGAAAAACCAACAGGTTTGCCAACTAGTATCCAAGAGAGTGCTTTCACAGATGCAACAGAAACGACATCAGACCACACAGAGGGACTTTCTTCTACAGCTATATCTCCTGAAGAAGGTTCTGGTGAGCAAACTCCACATATATTAATTACACCATGGTCAAACATAGAAAAGTCATCATCTGTGTCTCCAACAGTACCTTCACCCCAAACTAGTGATATTGAAGATAAAGGAAGTGTTCCTGCAGTTTCAGTTTCAGGGGGTATTCCTAATGTGACTTCTTTTGCAACAATTACATCTCCATTATCTTTCAGCACAGTCCCTCCCCTGTCATCAATCACAGCTACTCCTCATACCCTGGTGCTTTTTAGTCAGCATTTTACATCAGTGGAAACAGGGAAAACAGCCAATAGTAAACCTTCAGTACGTTCGGATCATGAAGTCAACTCAAGCGTTGAATTTCCTTTTGTTGAATCCTCAACTGGTGTTGGTATTACTAGTGAGCCTACCAGCACTGTTTCTTTTACAGACTTACAGTCATTGAATTATGCAGAGGTATTGCATGGTGTTGCCACTACTCCCGTTTCTTCATTTAGCACATTGTCATTGGCTCCAGTGCAGGCAGAAACTAAAAAAAATGCTGAAACAGATGAAATGGCATCAACTCCATCTTTATTTGAAACTCAGCCAATGGCCATCCCCAGTGTTACCACAGTCACTTTAAATCAGATTTCCACATACATTAATATGGAAGCCTCTGGTTTAGAAGATTATTTAGGGATAAGTGCAGATGGTTCTGGTGCAGAGTTGCTTACTGAATTTGTCACCCCATCGTTAAATACATTTACTGCAGTTGCAGATGAGGAAGGTCATCCTAAAAGCACCTCTGGTGTCATACGTTTTGCAACCCAATCTCCATACATGATAAGCACTGAGATGGCTATCACTGTAGATTCTCTGAGCATGTCCTCTGGCCCCACTAACCTTTCAACTAAATCTGAAAAAGTAACAGGTTCACCGTTTATTCCAGTTACAGCAACTTTAATGCAAACCTCTATGTCTTTTGGAAATGTTACTGTGACAGTTCAGAGCTTAAGTGACCCACACTCACCCACTAACAATTTAGATAGCCAGACATCACTTCTTGCTACAGTATCTTCTGATAAAGCATCAGCTGAACCAACAGAAACATTTTTGGGAACTTCTACAATTCATAGCAATTTGGATAACGTGTTCTCTGAGGCATCTAGAAGAACATCTTTAGCTGTGCACAACACAGGGGTGGCTGACAGTACAATAAGCACAGTCTCTTCTATATTTAGCACAGAGAAAATTAAAATGTCAAAAACTTCTAATTTCAACACAGAGCAGGCAACTATTAAAACAACATATGCTATCACACCTACTAAGTCTGAAAATGAGTCCCTTCCCGGAACTGAAAAATCAGCAAAAGTTACACATATACCATTAACTGAGCGCCACATTACTAAAAACACACCATTGACTGGAAGCATCCTATTTGGAAAATCCACAGGGGAACCGGAAACTTATCTTTCATTCAAACCAACATCTGCCGAAGAGGTTTCCTCACAGGATGCAGAAAGCACTTCTGTTGTTGACAGTACCTCTGGGTCATTAGCCTCTGGGTCAGTATCAACCAGTACAGCCATCATATTCACAGATGATGTGAAGGATAAAGATAAGCTCTTCTCTGCTGTTACTGACAGTATGAATGAAGAGGTGACAAATGCTGAGCTCATAACCAAAGATGACTCAATCATTGATGCAGATACGCTTTCTATTCAGGTATCTTCAATTCACCTTCAAACTATCCAAACAGAAGAAGCTAGAGGAATAACAATGACTCAAATAATCGAGGGAACAGGAGAGGCAGACGGTTCAAGAAGTATTCCTCCCACCTACTTTACCTCTTCACCTAAAATATTCTCGGCCACTGGTAAAAACTTAGATTCAACAACTTTTGAACATTCGCAGCCTACCTCAAAATCATCCGTTGTAGAACACGTTTCTACAATGGAGACATCCAATGAAGACACAGTCACATCATCTCTACATGTTACAGTAGCTACACTGGATATGACTAAAGACACCTTGAGTTCCTCGTCCACAAAAGCCACTCCCCCTCCAGTCACTGCCACCCCAAATACACCAATGTCTAGTGAAACAGAAGCAAAGAAACTAACCAGTGATACCAGCAATGGCCAGTCACACACCACAACAGAATCGAAAGTACCCGATACGGACACACTCCAAACTGATGTATCAACCAAATTGCTGGAAGGTAAGTCCACTCAAGCTCCTTTAAATAAAGACGCCTCACCTAATACTAACAGCACAGATAGTGAAGCCCAGGAAACATCAACTCATGCTGGAACCTCTCCTAGTGACCAGACAGCCTCTAAGCAGAAAGAGTCATCTGGAACGGTAACCACAACTCAAGAATCCAAAACTGATGTATCTTCTGAGAGTTCCGTTGAACAATCTCTGAAAGAAAGAACAGATTTAACTACAAAGCCTATTTCCATTAATCATACTACAAATGTTCCTTCAACATCAGCACAGTCATCATCACAGCCAGATGTTATAGTCCAGGTTGTCACAACAGTTTCTCCTGTTCATCGTCCGACAACTCCTCTGGAATCCTTTGAGCAAGTAAAGTCAGAAATCACACTAACACACCATCCCAACACAGACTTTTCATCCGAGGATGTCTTACTTACTACAACTAATCCTATTTTTGAAAATCATGTACCTAGTCAGAGCACCAAATCAACAACTCACGCTGTTGCATCTCTTGTGGCTGAACCAGGAGCTTCCGCAGCAGATGATAGGTCTGTTGAGCCAACTCCTACCAAAAACGAACCTTTTGATGTTAATAATGAAGATAATCCACCCCCAGATTATGATGCACCAGACCCCAATTTGCTTGAATGTGTTCCACAAATCCAGGAGACCTCACCTGGTGACACAAATAGCAGCTCAAAAGAAAATGCAACAAAGTCACCAGTTGCTGCAGAAGCTGTTACCATGCTACCATTTGCATCAGCCAATGTCATTTCAACATCAGGCTCTGAACCCGAGAGCAGTTTTGAGTCAGATAGCTCCTCTAGTGAGATGTTCACCACACATAAACCAAACATTGACAGTACAGAAAAAGAACAGTCTTGGACAACTGATGAAATCCAAGCAGTGTTTAAGGCAGATGCTATGAAACCTTCATTTGTGGAGTCTGTCCCGTCTGAGAACACCTCAGGAAAGCAAGACCATGAAGAACAAAATACAGATGTCTCTTCTCGCACTGAAATGCCGAAAGAGATCGACAAAGAGTTTACTACGTCGGTGGCTCAGACAAAAAGTGAATCAACATTAGTTCAATCAGGGGCCACTTCTTTATCATCTTCCTCAAATGGTGCCACTACACCTTCATCATTGACTGAAGTCCAGCCACTGGTGGAAGAGGAAGTTACAACTGTCACACCAGATGCAGAACTGGATTTGGGACACACTGTTGTTGGCGAGCCAATCGAAATTCCAGGTAAGTTTTCTTTTTTCTGGGATCGGCTTCTTTAAGCCAATCCCACCTAGAAAGAGGAAGTATTGCAAGTCAAGGAGAAATGAATGTCAGTCAGTAAATTTTTTTTATATCTTTTCACACGCCTTCACTCCTGTACAGTTGATGTTTGTCTGAATGGGGGAACCTGTCACAAAGTCGGTGTTCTCCCTACGTGTAGTTGTGCTCCTGGTTACACAGGTCATCAGTGTGAGACAAGTAGGGAATTGTGCCCCAGGACTTTCCTTTCACACTATCTGTCTGCTATTTAATACTTGAGAATTTACCAACTAAAGGTGTCAAACATTGTCTCTCTTTCGTATCCAGATATGGATGAATGCCAGTCTAACCTGTAGGTACTACAACAGTCCTTTCAAGGACTCGAACTCCCATAATTCCACTGCTTCCGGTAAATCCACATACGTCACGATCAGTAACCTCCGCAACCTTTAAATTGGGGGGTCAGCCCAATATCGTTCTCTCTGTTCAGGACTTTCGCTCCGTAGGACCTCGATGAAAAGAGAAAACCTGCTCGTCTCAGAAGACTAAGAACCAACGCGCTTTTGTAGACACCATTGCCCACGGTGATAAATGCACTAGTAGCGTCTTTTTCTTAACTGAGTTAACCGGTAATTAAGTTACACAAGTAACGTAGCGCTGCGACCAAAGCAGTTATTGAAAAGTTAGAAGCGACAGGATTCCTTCTAACGGTATTCGTGTGAACCGGCACATCGACAGTCAGAGACTTTTCCTCCTGAAACGGACTTTCGGAACCAAGAGGACTCTCTGGACACAGTGGAACCAGACGGACGTCCCCAGCTCTGGCAAGGACCCAAGAAGCACGGACTTTCCACTACCCTCTAAATACGAGCAGACGTTCACTACAGTAAGGCTGGCATTTGGGCACGTTAGTTAATCTGTAGTATTGTTAAGTGCTATTTAAACTTAGGGACAGTTTAAGTACGCATATTGAATTTTGTTGTCTGAAATCTGTGCTGCTTTTATAGCTAGGCTGTTGCATGCACTTCTTTTCTAACCTCCTGACTCGGTCTTATACTCTTGTACACCGTCAGTATTTCAGTGTTAACTTGTAACGTTATCAGTATTGGGATCAGGAAAACTCCGACAAAGTCCTTTGTCTGGAGTAGACCACGCGGTACGCCTCCCTTCCCCCATATACTTTGATAACATCACAAGCACTGTTTCATTGTACCTGAGCGCATCTTGGTGCGCGTACACAACACCCATTCACACCTCCGTGAGCGCATACACGCCTCACGTGTTTCCTGTTGCCGTTCCTTCTACCTCGCAGTTCTTCTTCCACTGCGCAGTCGCGTATGTGAACACGCCTCAAGGGCTCAGTCGCTTGCTTGGTAGCTGAGAGGCAACATCTCTCTCTCTCTTTCTCTCTCGTACACGACCGCTCGTGTACACACGCACATAAGTACACACACACCCCTACACACACGCCTTGTTTTGTTATAATGATCATTGTTTATGAGTTCAATCACCGTCATTAACTTGACAGTGTTGTATAAATAAATTTGATTATTTTTGTAAACTGTATTTGTCTGTGTTGTTACTTTATTCATTGAAGCCACCCAATTTGCCAAGAACTCTCAAAATCCTTCAGATATTTAATTGTTATTGGATACTATTGATTTTAGTATATTTGTAATACTTCAAGTAATACATTATTGCTATATTAGTAGGTTAAAATAATAATTAAAGATAACTTTAATGAGACTGGTTGTGTTATTAATTTGAGACTGGTTGATAACACCGAGTGCTCCTAAGCAGCACTCGACCCATTGCACCTACAAACCCTTGCCAGAATGGCGGTACATGTGTTGACAGCATAGCTTCTTTCACATGTGTGTGCCTCTCCAGCTACTCTGGACTGTTTTGTGAAGAAGGTAGGTTTCTAATTATTTCATCTAGATTTGGAAAACCATTTAATTGTTTGCTGAATAGTACACTATTTTTAAGTGTTGGTAAGAGTGTTTAAGTTAAGTGTTGGTAAGAATTAATGTTTACCTTAACAGTTATCCTTAACTGTACCTGATGGCTTAAAAAAGTAGGTTTAGAGCATTATACGCTGAGGTTAACTCATATGTAATTCACACACTTTTCCTACAAATCTTTGAGAACTACCTCTATATTCAATGGTTTTTGTAGCACCTTCATCACCTGTGCACTCCAATGCCAAAGATAGAGCTACCTCGACAGTCACAATCCAAGATCAACTACCCTGCTACCTACAGAAAAAATCGACAGCCAGTAGTTATAATGAAAACAAAAGTAAAAACAAGAAGTATACATGAGTAATTTATATAGATGTATGTAATTTTCTATGTAAAAAAAAAAAATATTATGTAGACGTGTGTTCTTTTCACCTAGATGCTGATTGAAAAAAATCACTTTTGCCTATATAATTTAAACAGCCTTTATTAAATACAATGATAATTGTGGACATTTGCAAAAGTTCATTCTTATCAGCAGAACCAAAAGGGAATTTACCAAAATGAGCCTTCATAAATACGTGTATGAATACTTGTCACAGTTGTTGAAAGGTCAAATCAAGTGCACTGTACTTTGGGTGTGTTGCTCCTTTTTTTCTTTTTGACTTTTTTACATGTCATACTAGAATTCACAGTATCACCATATTCTCATCCCAAGTGTGTTGAACTTAGGGCATTTTCTGCCTAGGCGGAGTTCTGAGTCTACACCCTCAATTTTGTCAAGATCCCTCATCGGTGCGTCACGCCCAGTCTGTGTACTTCAGCACAGCTACTGTCTTCCTGTGCTTTGCCAAAATAAATTGAGGAAATGTAACTTGAAGGGTAGAAGCCAGAAAAAATAATGCCTGGGTGTTATCTATTTGTAATCTGACACTGGACTGAACTGAGATCAGCTATTTCTGTGGATGGTAATGTATTGTTGTGTTTAAATTAAGAATACTTGTCTATTCAGGCACAGTAATATCACATTTTAAGTTATTAAGCTATTTTTTTTCTACCCAAATTTAACCAATTGTCTTAAATTACAGTAATTCCCAACCATTAGTATTTTTAGTTGATGATGTCATTATAATTTAGGGATTCAAGTAAAAAAAACTTACATGACATAAAAGGCTGATTTCAAGCCCATCTATCTTTCTTTTCACCCTCAGATACAGAAACATGCGATTATGGCTGGCACAAGTTCCAGGGCCACTGCTATAAGTACATGCCCCAGAGGAAAAACTGGGATACAGCAGAAAGGGAGTGTCGTATGCAAGGCGCTCATCTCACCAGCATCCTTTCCCATGAGGAGCAACAATTTGTCAATCGTAAGTTGAAGCTTGTGAAATACTTTTTTAAACCTTAAAAGGTATATATTTGCCTTTACTTCCTGTAACTGAGCTTCTCTAAAGAGAAATGTCATCTGCTCTGTCTCACCCTCTCTCGCCTCGTGTGGCAGGCCTTGGACAAGACTACCAGTGGATTGGTCTAAATGATAAGATGTTTGACAGTGACTTCCGCTGGGCTGATGGCAACAGTGTGGTAAGATAGCACTCTTTCTCGTTTATTTTCATCTTGACAAACATGGGACAGGAGCTGTGTAAATATTTGGAAGTGATGCCAGTGACAGACAGAGTCATATAGGGAGTTGGTCTTTTAAAGGGCTGTGGTGACTTTATCATGACGTACTCCTCCTCTGTATGTCATACTCACACACACTTGTGGGAGACTGCCGTTGAGAGCATGCTGTCAGCCAACTTGAATCTGTTTTCTGCTGCCCTTGTGTCCTGGAGTGAGAGCAAGAATGTCAAAGGTAGCACAAAAGAGGTTTTCTGGAAGGAAAAATGCACCGATAACATAAATGTAATGTTTATAAAACAGCACAAGAGTGTGTTATAAGAGTAGTTGTGGTTACTGTTGCCTAAGGCCAATTCACAAGGCAGGAAAATGGCTAATTATTAGGTACCTATGTGTTGTACAGAGTGATGTCCTCACTTCAAAGTTAATCCAACAGGGCCGGAGATAGCAGAAGGATGGAAAGAGCTCGGGGGTTCAAAGATAAGCAGGGTGACCGCCTATGGAGATACTAACTCAGCTGAGAGATGGAGAGGTGATGAAGGTGTGAGCAATACTTGTGAAGGGAGGTTGGCAGCCGTAGACAGGTAGGGACCTACTTTGACCCCTGCACACATTAGGTAGCAGAGCCAGCAGGCAGCCACCCAGGGGTAAAATCCGTCATACAGGAAGACACAGATGGACAGCCTCTGTGCCCAGGGTCACAAAGAGAAACAAACTGGACAGAAGCAAGACAGGGGGTCTCTGTGGGGATCGTCACTCCGGGGGTTAAATTGTAACACTGTTGAACTAAAATACGATTTTGGTTCTGTACTTGTATCCTCTTTTTTGATATGGGATATTGTATGTGTGTTTGTTTGTAGGTGATGGAAGTTTGTTTGATTATTCTGACAAGGATGTTGACCTACTGTTTAGTCAATGGCTCAAGTTTTTGTTAGTGTGAAGTCAGCCCAGCAGGAAGCCGTTGTCTGTATGTGTGTGTATGTTTGTGTTTGAGTGAGTGTATGTGTGTGTGTGTGTTAACCATAATGACAGGGCAGCAGAGCCTCGGGGAATGATTGGAGGAGTGAGTGTGGGGGTCACAGCTTTGAAGAAACTGTTTGAACCCAGGATGTGCGTAAAGACCACAAGGATCATCCATTCCAGCACTACAGCTATGTATATACAGTTTACCTGTACGGCTGTACATCTGTGTGCTACAGGAATTCTTCACGTGTGCAGCGTTACATACAGTCTGTAATGAGTGGTACAGTGTGAGGTTAAATGACATAACTCTTATGTTTGTCTGTCAACATAAAACCACCAGTACCAAAACACACGTGAATCACAGTCATGTTTCAAAGGTGACATCAGGTATTTCATTAAAGGGCAATGTAAGCCTAGGTGCACTGTGTAATCCAGTTTTCTCCCCACAGTCCATATAACTGCGGACTGAGAATTATGTCAACTGTCTCACACTCACACTCACACACTCACACTGTCTGAATGGTTGCCTGTCTCTGGGTGTGGCCCTGGTGAACAGTCCAGCGTTTACCCAGCATCAGGCAATGGCTGCTGGCATGTCCTTCTTACCCAAAGAAGGATTAGGCCCTATACTTAAGTATTTTATTATAGCTTTATTGCTGAATTTGGGTTTGCTACTCCCTCCTGTGGCCATTTATAATAATACAGTGGCAGAAAACTGCTGCTTACACAGGACAGCACCAAACTTTTTGTTAATGGGTTTACATGTAAAGAATTTGGTTAATCTATATATTAGATAAAAAAATAATACAAATCCAGTTGTTTAAAATGCTACTAATGATTCTATAAACATGCACCAAAATCTTTATTAACCAGGCAGGAGGACAAAAAGAAGAGTTCAAGTGTCTTCACTGATTAATTCTATGTGTAAAATATAGAATCTGTAGAAAATACAACAAGTTTCAACAGGTTAATAAATGAAGGAAACACACTCAAATTTAAATGTATGCATCTTGTTTACTTTTTTGATTTCAGCAATATGAAAACTGGAGACCAAACCAGCCAGACAGCTTCTTCTCTTCTGGCGAGGACTGTGTGGTGATGATCTGGCATGAGGACGGTCAGTGGAATGACATTCCCTGTAACTACCACCTTACATTCACCTGCAAGAAGGGCACAGGTAAGAACACCCAGCAAATGTCTCATTGTTAAACATATACCCATTTAAGTTACATTTAACGCATCATTTAAATGTTCTGCTCCGTGTTTTGTAGTGGCTTGCAACCAGCCCCCTCTAGTGGCCAACGCACGCACCTTTGGTAAAAAACGTGAGAGATACGAGATCAACTCACTGGTGAGGTACCAGTGTCACACAGGCTTCATTCAGAGGCATGTACCAACTATCCGTTGCCGTGGTGATGGACGATGGGATGTTCCTAAAATTACATGCATAACCCGTAAGTACTATTGATAAATAATTTACTTTTTCAGGCTACATTTACTAATTTAGATATTGTGGAGCTAACATTTGTGGGGGGTTTTGGTTAACTTGTAGCATCGAGTTATCAGAGACCCTTTGTTAGACGACATGAGCACAGAAGCCTCTACAGTGTCAACAACTTCAAAAGGCCAGAGGACGCCATCAACTATCATCCTCAGCGCTACAGAGGGAGGAGGGAATGGACTGGACACAAGCAGAGGAAGCTGTAATTGAGATGTAACAACAGCTTCTTTTTAAAGACCACATTGCTGATAATGGTGTGAAAATAGGGAAAAACAAGTTTTAAATGAAAAGTAAAAAGAGAAGAAACCTAATGGATAACCTGTAGGCTCACTTTATGTGGGACGACGAGGGAATCATCTTACGAAGTGCCTTTTCAAAAGATGTTGACACGTCACTTTGTTTTAATCACTGGCTCTGTGTCACAGTGTATATAAAACATTTTCAGCTGGCTACTGGAAAAGCAAAAACAACAATATTCTCATCAGTTTTGCTTGAGTTTATGAAGCCATACATTCACGACTGTTGCTTCAGGCCTTTGTGAACCAACTGTGCTTTTGAAAATAATCTCAAGTGTTTCTTAAATTTACATACGTTACATAAGTGAAAAACTATATGTCGATGTCAAATGCTTTTTTTCTAGTGGTATTTATGAGCATTCCACTTTAACAATAGACGAACGTCTGAGCGGGATTTGTTCAGTGAACTGCTGGAGCACCTTTTTTGAAGCAGCAACTTTCAAAGCACCAAGAAAGTATCTTTCCCTTTTACTGTATGTTAACAGAGAATGTCTTTATCTTTCAAATGACATTTCAGTTGAATTACCCTGCTTTTTCCTACAAAGGAAGACAATCTTCATCTTTGTTTCAAGTTAAAAGAATGGAAAGTGTCATGTCAGTTGTATGTTCTGCCTATGTATGTGCATCATTTCATCTGTTGTCATCTATTGCTGCTATGCTTTAGCTAAGCGTTTTAATGTTCTTTTTTTATTAGTTAAAAAATATCAGCCAACCAAGAAAATGTATTTTTTTGTGAAACACTCGTAGAGACTTGAACGTAACGGCTGTTTAGACAGAGATACGTTATTTATTTTCAAGCTGCTTTTGACCGTTTTACTTGGTTCAGTACTTACAAGTAAAGTAAGATGCTGTCATTCAGTCCAGCAGTGCTGTTCATATGTATTCAACAGGAAAACAAGCCACAACCACAGACTGTCTCAATACATTAAAGATGAAATTTCCTAATAACACAATTGACTTTGCCACTTTTTCACATCTGGAACGCCATAAACAGTGGACCAAAGATCATAGAGGGCCCCATCGGCTGCAATAATAATGTTCTGTAATGTTAACCAAATACTTGTAAATGGCTGTGAGTGTGGATCTACAGCCATTTGTAAATTGAGTTATGTTTTTTTGTCCACCTGTGAATGTGTGTGTTTCAGCCTTAATGTGCACATACTATCATATTTATAGCATTTTTTAAAAATTATTTTACAATGTGAATGTCTGGGATGTTTGTTGATTTTTTTAAAATAAAAACAAACATGTTTCCTGCTTTTAAATCACCAAATAAAAATAAATATATATAGATATATATTGAGGATCTTCAATTTGTACATTTTGTCTTCAATTTGACAAACTAAATATGGTGTGTTTGACCCATTTATGATTTGAGTTTGCATCATGCATGTGTTTCAAAGTTGTATTGGGCTTTATACAGGACAAGAATAAAAACACGAGCTTCATAGCAGTGTATGTAGTTGTCATAGGGCGCAATCAGATAAGACTTTCAAAACAAGGTCTTTAGCGCAATAAAACTTTATTCGTTTTTGTCCCTGCAGCATTTACACTACCGCTGAAAACACTGAGGGTAATAAAACAATTGGAATCACACACGCTCTTAGACACCAACAGCTCCGTCTTGTTTATGATTTTTGCAGATACTTTCTGAAAAACTGATCAGTCACGCTCCACAACACTCGAGAGTGAGCAGAGGGAGGCAGACAGGAAGCAGCAGCCTGAATTAAAGCATGTGTGTGTGTGGATTAGGGAAACCTGACACTCCAGCTGAAAAGGCTTATGCTGCAGAACTGTCAACTAAGACATGCTGCAATTCTTGGTATGTAGACTATTTGAATGTTGAGGCTGTTTTTGCCTCTTGGTGTTGAAAAAAATGACTATAAATTCGAATAAAAAAAAGTCACGAAAAGTTGGGTTGCGTTAGGAAGGGCATCTGGTTCGAAAGCTCTACCAAGTAGCTAAACGGCACTGCCCAAGGCCTGGCCGTCATGCCTATTTTTATCAAAATTAAGCCTGCAGTGGCTCAGTTACTATGCTAATAGTTAGCTCACGTGCATAAAGGCCACCATTTCAGGCCCAGTGGCAGTTGATGGTGTGTCTGTATTGTAGTGTGCATGTCCTCCCAGTGTTAGGTGGGGAAGATACTGTAGCTGTTGATGTGAATGTGAGTGTGAATGGCAGTCTCTGTACAGTATGTAGCCTTGTGATGAACTGATGATTGATGAAGAAGAATACATGAAGGTGATGTCATCAGAGAAACCATGACCTATGATTAAAAAATTTTCCTAAATTTCCCAAAGAGAGTAAAACTCACAATCTAGCCTCAGGAACTGCAGCTATCTCATGGCTGATCAGTGGGGAAAAAAACCCAAAACCCTAGGCTCAGGTCTTACCATTGTCCAAGTCGCTTAGTGTCTTTATGTTAAAGAGGAAATTCACTCTGCAGCCTATTGATTTCCAAGACTTGGCATTCAGAGTCTGTCTTGTCCAATCCAAGGTGCCAATCAGTCACTCAGGGCCCTGCTATTTTCCTGTCACATGTAGGCTAATCCTGTTACAAGTGAGATACAACATGACATTGTTGGCGATGTTGCATTGAAATACTTGCTGAGAACCACTTTTGTATTTGTTTGACTCAAAGCACACTGGGAGAGGAGAACAAATGAGCCAAGAATGATTTAATGATTCCACCACGACAGCCATGGCTGTTCAGCTCAAGTGTCTGCTTATGTAATCCGACCTAAAGACAAAGAAAATATTGTTTCAATGGTGTTGTCTTAAAATTTGTATATATTTTGTAAAAGCTTTTTCACTTTTTAAGATATTTTTTGTGCTCATAAATGAGTTGATCAGATCTTTGTTGTCGCTGCATTTTACATTTTTGAGAACGTCAGTGGACATTTCAGTGTAGCGGTGGCATTTAAAAACACAAATCCTTTTTCCAAAATGTCATGAAAACAATAGTCTCAATCGAAAGTTGACTTTATTTTAACATTTTTATAAACAGTCAAAAGCCTTGTGTTGGTGCAGTGGTAGGACACATTTATATACAGTGGGTACGGAAAGTATTCAGACCCCCTTAAAATTTTCACTCTTTGTTATATTGCAGCCATTTGCTAAAATAATTTAAGTTCATTTTTTCCTCATTAATGTACACACAGCACCCCATATTGACAGAAAAACACAGAATTGTTGACATTTTTGCAGATTTATTAACCCTTGTGTGAAGGACTACTCATTAATATGAGTATTAATGAATATGAGGAAAAGTTGGCACAAGTCATGCAGTACAGGAACATGCAGACGCACGCATACTCATGCACGCACACACACACACACAGACACAAAGACATACAGTGGGTACGGAAAGTATTCAGAAATTTGTCACTCTTTGTTTCATTGCAGCCATTTGCTAAAATCAAAAAAGTTCATTTTATTTCTCATTAATGCTTGTGTGTGACTGTGTCTGGTAATTTCTCCATCAGTCTTGAGCACACTAGATTATAATATGAGAAGCAAACAGTTTCTTAAAGTGACAGTACAGCATGAAGCAATGATAATAAATTAAATTCTTCCAACAAGTGATCTGCAACAGACTGGACTGGAAAACCTAACACAGAAGCTGTGTACAAGAAGGCGATGAGCAGACTTTATTTCCTGAGGAAGCTGAGATCCTTCAACGTGTGCTGCAAGATGTTAGAGCTCTTCTATCAATCTGTTATTGCCAGTGCCATTTTCTTTGCGGTAGTGTGTTGGGGAAACCGCATCAGAGCCAGCGACACTAACAGACTCAACAAGATCATCAGCAAGGCTGGTTCTGTTCTTGGTCTCAGACTTGAGGCCTTTGAGACTGTTGTGGAGAGGAGGACACTGAACAAACTCTTAGCCATCATGGACAACGATGAGCACCCTCTCCATCATACTGTAGACAGACAACGGAGTACCTTTTCTCACAGGCTACTCCAGCTCCGCTATCATAGGGACAGATACAGGAAATCCTTCCTGCAACAGGCCATCACACTCTACAGCAACAGCTAAACTCTATTATTATCCTGCAATACCCAAACACTGCATTACACACATTACACATTAATTATCCTACAATACCCAAACACTGTCTGTATATACATACTGCATTTATTCTATACTGTGTGTATTTATACTCGAAGCCTCTACTTACCCATTCATCTTACTAATACAGTGTTTACTGCTTATCTGTATCTTATCTTATCTCATCTTATACTCATCTTTGCATCTATTTATCACAATAGGTTTGAATTGTGCAAAACCTCTTTTTGGTGTGTGTTTTAGATTATGAGTCATCAACAGTCCTAAAAGACTTTCCTTAATTTTTCTGTTGGTCCTGGTATATTTCCTAATTCTAATCGTATAATGATAATTTTTAGAGGTTCTATGGTCTTTCTTTAAGAACCTTTTTTGTGCTTACGCAACTTTGATACATCAGGCCCCTGGCCTAACCCGTTCTAAGACCTGCTCCTGAGGGCAGCATGCTCAGCTCGCCATAGCTAAGGTGAGTTTCTAATTTGTGACCCTCTTACAACAGACCAGGTTCTCTTTACCACTGGCTCACAGGCAGGTAAAAAAAAGTTCACACTCCATTCCAGCTTAGGGTCGACGTTTGAGAGTGGAAATTTAATCGTGTAAGGAAACAGGAGTAGCTAGCGCACTAACCAGCCTTCCACTGTGTGGCCCTTCATTGAATTTGAAAATGTTTATTTATGGAAACAATGAGTATTTCAAACAGGCATTTATTTCTTTTTTCACACTGTTTTGTTGATAGAGGTACATTGTGATATGATACAAAATACCTTCACTTTTGTTCCATGCACATTTCCATGTTCTCATTTTGAAGTTGAGCCTTTATAACTTTTATATATCCATCATCCTAATACCACATGGATCTGCTGTAAGTAGTGTGTTAGTAAAAATAGTAAAAAAAAAGAAGAGACAAAATTATTTTAAAAACTTTTTTTTCCGCTGTGGTTTCAATGAGGATTTCTGATTTTCAATGAGAAAATGTCTCCGGACGGATGAATTACTGGTCGAATGATGAATTATAGCTTTTGATTTTGGGTTAGAAGTATTTCTGCCAAATCAGACACTGTTCACCAACATAGATCATTCTTTTAAAAATGTTGTGTGGTGGCAAAAATCACGTATATAATTGTCTTTTTAGTGTACCAGTCTTACTGGTCTGCCTTGTAGCAGTACACACCATAAGACTTCTGGGTCTTATCTGGGAATTCAACCAACCGAACTGCACTTTCTATGGGGCTGCAGTTCTTGCGGGGCCTGGAGATGGGGTAGCGGACGCTTCCGTCAGCCAACCAGCCAGCATCACAGCGGTCGTAGTTCTCCAGCTTTCAGGCGGCAAACATGTGTCCCACTTTGGCTATCATAGCACCGTCATCTACACAGGCCTGCACAGCCTCATTGAAGGTCAGCCTGTCGGGTTGGACCAACCAGTAGAAATTACCTGGTGAAAGATTATTAGAAAATATGAGGAGAATCACTTTAACAAACTTTGATTTGTGCAAGTAATTCTATGACAAAACTCTGCAAAATAATAAAAAACTTACCTTTCAGTGGTGTCACGAAGCAGTACACATCATAAGTGTGAATCATTTTCTCACGAACACCATAGTTCCTGATGCCTGGCCCGTTGTTGGAACCTCCGCAGGGTCCTCTGGGGTTAATGATGGGGTATTGCACTGAGCCATCACTCAGCCAGCCTGCGTTGCACCAGTGCAGACCTTCCTTCCAGGCCTCCATCAGCTGCTCAAGGGAGGCCATCACAGCATCCTGATCCAGACAGGCCTTCTGGGCATCCTCAAAGTTCAAGCTGTAGCGTTTCTGGTTGGGCTGGCATGGGAATATGACACCTGAAGAGAAAATGTAGCAGGATTATATGTGCGGCTATTTGCTTAAAAGGTTACTTGAATTTTTTTCTGTTAATTTATGATGCTCTTCTCCTGCAGCCAAGACCCATAGAANNNNAAAGAGTGTGGGTTCAATGAGTGCAGTCTCTCCAGGGTTGCCTGCTCAGTTGGCATGTGTTGCTGGCATGCTAAGGCTTGAGTTACTGAATGTAGACATATTAGTCTTTCAGCTCTAGCAGCTTGTTAAATGTTGTTAAAGGTTGGACTGCACACATTTGAATAGGGGTAAAAAGTAATAAAGTCACAATAGAGAAACGAACAAAATAAATCAGATAATACTGCTCACTTATAATAATGCTCACTTCATTACCAGGATTTACCAACTGGTTTTTAATTGAAACTGATTTTCTAACACCTTATTAAATCCTTATGTTTAACACTATCTGTAATCACATGCCAACATCTTGACCGATCCAGATGCATTCTAAAAAATTGACATTCATTGGTCTCATGCTGCCATAGAAAAGTTAGTACAATGTTTTAAAAGCTAGCTCTGCAAAATCTTCCATCCGTAGTTCATTCTTGTGTGAAGGGTGTTCCTCTTTGTATGCAACAGACTTTTGTAATGAATGAAATCTGATTATTTTACTAAAGATACAAACTAAACATGCAAAATGTCTTGGTTAACAGTTTCCAAATGTTATGACAGAATAATTACAGCATTGTGAAGGAATTAGTTCCAGATGTTTTTTTATTGACCACCTCTAAAAAAACCTGTGGATGATAATGTTTATTTTAAAGTGACCTATTGTAAAATGCGCATTTTACACTTACATTTACATTTTAAATATCTTGTGAAGAATGGATAGTTTTGACATAATTTGCAGAATTAAATTTCTCAATAGACAAAAGTGAATGTTTACCCATGGTGAAAGCGTGCGTCACCTCCAGAGTAATCTCTTGCACGCCGTCTGACATCCCATTGATGATCTCACAGCGGTACGTTCCTGTGTCTTCCAGTGACACACTGGTTATGGTGAGAGAGGCGTCTTCGCTGTCGCCCTCCTGCAAGAACGCACGGTCCTGGAAGTTTCCGTAGGTCTTCTTGTGGAATCCCATGGAGAGCAGCACGTCCTCGTTCAAGCTCGACTCGTCTTCTGCCACTTTGGTCCACTTGACTCGTACGCCAAAGTAACCGGACGTCGGTGGGTCATGAGACATGAGGTTGCAAGGCAGGGTGATGTTGGCATCCATCTCTGCAAAAACTTGAACTGAAAGAGAGGGAAAATGATAACAAGTTAACAGGGATTTGACTGTGTGAGGCCTGCAACACATTGACTGGGAAATTCATTCAATATTCATTTTTTATGACTCACAGGCATTTTTTATTATTAAAAGACAATAATAACAATAATACGTTTTTTTCTTCATCTACTATATATATATAACTAACCCATTGCATATTTTGATAACACCAAAGTGTATTTACTCATGCACTTGCATATGCATACACATACTGTATTTTTAGGAGTTTTGAACAGCAGCTAGCTCTAATCCCCGCACCCCAGAGCTCCACAGAGCCTGGTGTCTATGATCTTCCTCCTCTTGTCAGTTCAGGCTCTCAGTCGAACCTCAGTGTGAATCTTTGAAGTCCATCTCTCCTATTTTTCCCAGCCATCACATGATTTATAAATGACAATCGGTGTCATGTATTAACTCTGCCCACTCTCCTCTCAGTGCTCCACCGGCTGAGTAGGAGTCATGGTTAACCCCCCTCTGTGTGTCACCGCAGGTTTCTGTGTCCATGCGACCTCACAGGGTTTGCTTGATTTAAGAAAACCCTGACCAGCAAGGGATGACCTGACCTCCACCAGGGCAATAACAAGGGCCAGATGGAAACGTATACAACACCCCTGACTGCCCTCACTGCAGCTCCACCTTTGAACAATCAGCCATGTAAGTGGAGTCACCCGCTGCAGTAAACAGTAGTTAACATGTTATGTAATGTGTAATAATATTATAATACTATATAACTGGTTTCAGATTTGTATTGAAATGTGTTTTTTAACCCCCAGCTCAGTGCAATTGACCTGAATCTTTAGAGGATTGATGTTGCCCCCAGCACAGATTGAAGAAAAAGGGACAGACAGTGAGAGAGACTGGAAGATTTAAAAAATTAAATTTTTTTTCCTGCACATTTATGAGGCACTTTTCCTACGTCACCTTCACCACACCCAGTAGCTTTGCTCTTTGTGAAACTGGTCAGAAGATATTTTCCATGTTGCCTAACACTGTCTTGCTGCTGTTAATGAAAAAAGTCAGATTCTTCTGGGCGAAATGCCCTTCCTAATGATTGTTCCATCAGCGAGTGTGCAGTGAGTCACATATTTACTCTGCCTCACACAACTGGGTAGCAGTTTGCACAGTGTGTGACTAAAGCCTGAAGGATCCAGAATGACTTAACTGCCACTTGAAAAGATGAAGGTGATGGTGACATCACCAGCACCTCGCCAGATGTGATAAAAATCAATTTGGTTTGTCAAATCTTCCAAATTTCAAACGCTATTTGGTGAAAGAGTGCTGAAATAACAGCATGGTATAAAATAGAATAAATGAACACGTGCAGCTGCAGCCTGGGCCATTCATCTCACTCTGTAAAATCCTGTAGTGGAAGTGACTGTAACCATCTGCATCACTGTAGTGTCTTTGTTAGGGCATTAAGTTCATTGAAATATGCTCATATTTTAAATATATATATATATGTAACTTGTAAGAGGATGGAGAGGACAGCACTGGATGAATCATCATGTGGAACACCTTCCTAACGTGTTGCTTTACATTCAACAGCTTTCCTCTGTTCTGCTGCTGGCACAAAGTGGAGGGAGAATGATCAAGCGCAGCTGTGTCTAACTCAGCAGGGCCAACTCTTCCACATCATTCTCATTTCGCTCCTTCCTGTTGAGTCTCACTTTATGGGAACAAACAGAAGAATGTGGGTGTGTATTCCTCACTTAGGTACATATCTGCAATGACCAGTGCACATGCAAGGTCAGCTGTCCAAGGAGAAATTTGTCATGTTTGACCGTGATTGAATTAACACACACATACACATACACATACACATACACATACACATACACATACACATACACATACACATACACATACACCCAAGCAGCTGAGCATAGCTATCTGTCTCATCCCCAGGAAGTAGGATAGCCCACAGCCTGAGCCCATCTTCAGCCAAGGCCATCTTCCCCACCCAGCCGGAACAACGATGCTGCGCCTCGGCAACCTAAAAGCACAGTAAGCATTAACTCACTTCCTGTAGGGAGAGACAAAGTCATTTGGATGTTGTTCAGCATGGGGCTGTATACGTTGGGGCTCAGGCTTGTTAATCTATACTTTTGGACAGTAGCACGTGTCCAAAAGAAGTCTCTACATTGCCAGAGTCAGTCAGTATTGAAAGATTCTTGCTGTGCGAGGTGTCTTCAGGCAAGGAATGGAAGAAGCCCGTAGATGGTCGATTCGTTTTAATAACAAAAACGTCAAACAAAACAGGTCCAACAATAAAGCAAAATAACAACCGGAAAAGTATTCAAGGAAAATACAACGCCAAGTTATATAGAACTTAAAAATACTTCTTCTCAAGAATAACTTCTAAGAATAATTTCTCTCAAGAATAACTTCAAATGCATCATCAGTGATGTGCACTACCTGTGTGGGGGGAGTGGTTTTCGGCTTCCCGGGTGTGTGTTTAATTGTTGTAGGCCAATGGAAGAGAGAGGTTAGGCCTCTTGTGGCCAATCATATTATTGTTATTGTATCATGGTTCTGCCTGCAGTCACCACTATGTGGCGCTGCTGCTCCATGATTCAGCAGTGTTGGAAGACATTTTATGAACCTTTTGTTGCTGAGCGGGGTGTTAACACAAGGGAAGTGGATCGAGCCAGCAAACAACAGGGGGTTATGTAGATCAAAGGGAGTGGATGAATCCTTGATTCCCTGTAAAGATATAAATCAGGAGTCTTCGTTTTAGAAACAACTGTGAGTCGCAAATTCTATACCTGGGAAGACCTTTGTAGTGTATATCTGTGTCTTATCAGCTTCTTGCTTTCAGACTTAAACCAATGTGAAAACCACTGAAATCTAACAGTATGTATCATGTATTTACAGCCAAGCCTGTGCTACAGTCCCAGGTTGATCACCCATGTTGATGTCAGATGTACTGAAGATTTAACTTTTTAACCCAGATTTAACCCAGTGAGCAGACAGAGAATGCACTTCTCATAGGGCCAATAAATTTGACAATTACACCATGGAACATTAGGCTGTGCTGTGCCAATGCTGGTGACCCTGGTGTAGACAGATGAGGTCATAGACTCTGTGCATTTACTCTAGACTCACACACATACTGAGGCGACATTACTGGCAAAGGGGAGTAATTTCAGTTTGAAGCTGTTCTATACACAGAGGAGACATTTCACCCTCTGCTTTGGCAGAGAATTCCCAAACAGGACATCTACTGAGCCAGCTTCCAGAGCAGCTGGAATAACACATTCAGAACAACTCGCTACATACGGTGTAACATACATTCTTTTTGCAAACGTGTATGGTTTTTATTTTTGGCAAAAAAGAGGAACCACTCCGGCATCCTAAAATCACATTTAACACCAGTTTAATCAGTGCTATGAATTGTATGGACTCCCATTCACCAGTGCAGGCAGAGAATGGGAATGAATGACAGGGTAATTTATTCACAGCCACTCTGTGCCATGATGGTGGTCCGCACGCAACGAGTCAGTGCTGAGTCTTGCAGAGCTGAGTGTGTTTCCACAGAGACCAGTCTTACCTACTGCCACAATGACCCTGTTGTTACGTAAAGCCTGTGCTGTGACACAACTTTACTTACTCAGCTCATCCTCCTGTTCTCCGTGCACACAAGTTATGAATTATAGTAAAACCACTCAGAGTGAATACTGGGTTTATGAATATATATTTAAAGAGCGTTTCAATCTTACCGACCAATTGCAGGGGCGGCATTGTCGCCATGCTGTGTGCACTACCAGCCAGTGCCAAGATGGATTGCAGAGCAGACTCTTCATTTTTGTTTTTACACTAAAGGTCAAATTTAATTAAAAAAGACTTGAGAACTTAGAAATAAACAAAAAGAATCACTGAAAAATAATTAAAAAAAAACTTAAATGTCTACTAACTGTAGACATTAGCTTCTTCTGTCTGTCTTTCTCTCCGTCCCTTTGTGCAGCAGCCACCTGTGGTGGTGCTACTGAAAACTTTGGGCTCCTTGGAGGTCCAGACAAGAGCCTTTTATTGGAGACATGTATGGTGGAAACCACTCCCCCCACCAATCAGCCCATCACCGCTTCTATACAGGTTTGCCCACATTATTTTTAAGTGAGGAAAAAAACCCCACCTCTTTCTTTTTTGGGGGAGAAAGAAGGGGTGTAGAACAGAGAAAAAACTGAATCTGTAGATAATTATCCTGAGATAAATGTTTGGGTCAGAGTCCTACAGCGCTGATTCCTGTGGGGAACAAATCTTCAAAATAAAAATAACAAGGTAATGTCTCTGAGAGCTATTACATACAATAAAAGGATAAAACCCTCAGTAGGAAAGAAATCAAACAAACAGCAACATTCATTTTATCACTTTGTTATGATTTGATTTGCTGCCTTGATATGAAGTCACTTTAATAACAAAGTAAGGCTCCATTTCCTTTCTGATTGAGTCATTATTTTTACAACCTAGTTGTATTCAAACATTTGGATCCCATGAACTTCAGTCTCTGTTAGAGGCCTGAACCTTTCTGCTGCCCATGCACTGCCCGGTCCTGTAGACATTTGAGTGTAAGGAGTTTAGAAATGTGTCGTGTACTGCCTCCAAGTAATTTTTAAAAAATATTTTTATCAAACCTCGGCTTTTCTTTTCCACTCCTCACTTATGCTGTATGAAATTCTTACACATATAGTTTGAAATCCCCCCAGTTACTGTAAAGAAACTGTTCATTCATTCATGACGCATGACGCAGTGATGACGCAATGGAGCAGAAGCATGGGACTGTAAAGTTGTTAGCAGAGTGGCTGTGATGTTACCAAGCAGGTGTGACATAATTATGCCCCTTTCATATCAACACATTGAGAATATATATAAATATATGTATAATATTGACCATACTATCATTACTGTTACCAGACAAGTTTGTCTCTGAGAATAGATACACAGTCTTCTTTAGGGGGTACAGAATGTCGAG